TAGTCTCACCAGGACGGCATCCTGGGCAGAACGAGACTGTTAGAATCTCGTGAAACGATGGAACGTTAATGCCGGAGGTTGAAATGGCAGCGGTAAACTCTGCTGCGAATTCACTCGTCGGTGGAGTCGTGGACGGTTCGTCGAACGCGCTGAGACCGCATATCTCATCTCACCTCCCGGTCGCCAGAAACAGGGGATTTCCTGTCTCCTTCCACAACCTCTCGTGGAAGGTATTCGCAATCGCGAGGGTGATGCTCTTTAAAGTCTGTGTTGAAGGAGTAATACCCCTTTAAGAGGTGATAACCCTTCAAGGCTCCTCACTTGTTTCTTGACGACGTACTTAGGGTTCATGATTGTCCTGTACCCGTTGTCCAGCGGATACTGTAGTTATGTTTGCTTAGTTCAGAAACGCTGGAATGAATCGGTCTGTTCACTGGCGACCGAATGGCTAAGCCCATCTCGGAATTGCGCTCATTAAAGTTCCTGTGTGTCTCGGTTAGCGCATTCAACATGCACTTCAGGCTCCGATTCACCCCTTTATCTACGTTGGTATCAGGATGACGCGGTATAGTACCGTTGGGTTTTACATTAAGCGTCCAGCAGCAGTCCACTAACACCCTATTAGTAAAAATATTTCAGATATCCAGTAACTAACCTCGAGCCGCCCCCCGGAATCAGCCGATACTGTCGTTTGTTTCTTAGAACTCAGCTCTGGAAATGTACAAAGTTGCGTAAGAGCAGAATGCAGGGCATTAACTATTAGAGAGACGTTGCATTCACAACCTGCAACGTCTACATATTTAACAGAAGTTCACGAGAAAGTCTGCCCTTATATTTTTGTGCCTTTGTCAGCAACTATGTCGACAAATTCGATGGTCATTTTAATTCGTTGCCTAAGGCGCGCACTCGTACGCCCCATGCTTGAACTGCAGGTTTTTTCACCGTTTCAACGTGAGATTGAAAAGCGGATGCTCGATAAAAAAGGACGCCACCAAAAGATTGCTCATCAAACAAAGCAGAGACCATAATGCTTAGTAATATACACAATTTCGCTGACTCGGAGACAGCAACACATCCCGCCTCTAATGGCGGGATGTAAACCTATTTTTATACGTTTATATCCCGTTATTAAAGGCGGGATGTAAACGTATTTTTATACTGTAGCGGTGCTGCTGAGGCGCGTGCCAGACCCCACCGAAGACAAAGACGAAGCGCGTGCAGACGGCGCGCGACACACTTCTAATTTGGTCTGATTTGGCTGTGGACGTCCTCTTGTAAATTAAAAAGGTAACAATACGTTTATATCCCGTCATTAGGGGCGTGATATAAACGTATTTTTTTATTATTGCCCATTGAAATGGCGATGTTCCCATAATGTACCTTTCAAAGGAGAAGGGAAGTGACACCAACGTTGAGAAGAACCCAGTCTGCGAGAGTAGGCTATGAAATACTTGTAATGAGTGAAACAAAATATCCTCTGAAAGTCGCCCAATATCGAGAGAAAATTTTGTCTAAGACCGTTAAGTATGAAGCGGCAGCGCTTGAGGTGGTTGCGAGCTATAAATGTTTACAAACGTAAGATAAAGAGCTTATTTTGCATAGGGAGCGGCCAAACATTGGAACTAAAGTGCGCCCATAGTTAGTTTTAACACTTTTAGTGCCGTTTCTGTAACAAGTTATGAAACGCAATTATAATCGTGGTAATTAATACAAAGCACGTTGAAAGATACACTCTTATTTTTTTTTAACGACGTGAGATGGCGCAGCTTTATAGGAGCCCGACGAATTGTCCTCATTTACCAACACGTTTTGAAGACCGCGAGGCGTGTTACCGGGCCTTCGCGCCCGCACCTACATGCTGTGTTCCAACCCCACGGTGCCTCGCCGGGAGATGCCCGATGCGCGAGTGCCAATTGGACTCCCTCTTTCAACCTTTTTCCAAAAACTACATCTTCTTCTACTATGATAGGTAGTTTTAGAATCGGAGAAGCAAAGGCTTTGTGTGTGCAAAGAAATATCGTCGTCGCCGCTGCGCAGGTTCCGAAGTCAAACCGCATTTGTGTTTAAGTGCATCCAGAATTATTTCGAAATTTCGTGGGCACACATAAAGTATCCGCGTTGCTCGAAGAAGGATTTGTTATCAGCGAGAAGTAGGCTAAAGCCAATACGGGATCATAGGCTCTAATCTAGAAACTTGGCAGAAACGTCGGCGAGGAATTCGGTGTCAGTGATTTGCCAACGCCGTGTTTGATCTTGGAGCCGTCCAATCATGGTGGTTGAATTTCTCGCGGATTTTTTTTGCCAAGTGTCTAAACTAGGACACCAGTTAGAAAAGCGTGGCTCCCCGCCCTCCCAGGGCCGCGGATTTGGCGGCCGTCACGAGTGCCACGACGGCGGTGTACTCGCGAGTGTGATTGACAGGACGAAATTGCAGTCCTGCGGAGGGTACACGTCACAAACGTCTTAAAAAAGCCAGCAGGGTAGTCAGCAATCGCTAGTAATTTGCTGCTTGCGTCGCACAAGTCATTCTCGGCCATAGTTGGTATGCGATACCTGTAAATACCTATCTTTCCGAGTTGACACGAGCGACAGTTCGTCCGGTCTACACGAGCGAACAGAATGTGTCGATAACTGTCGTCGTATTTGTATATTCAAGGAAATCTGAACTGTTATTGAGAACCTAAAACTTTTATTGTCCCTCAAGTTACTTACTCTTGTGTGTGAAATAAAAATGGTTTGTGTATCTTGGTGGAGTTCCAAGCGCTAGATGCTTAGGTTTTGCATTTCGGTAGAGAAAGGTTACTCTACAACCCACTGGCGTAACGTGCTCCAGCGCTAGCGCTATATTGCGCTAAAATTACGAACGTTATTTTGAAACGCGATTCGTTTTGAGTGTCTCTGCGGGAATACGGGCTCGACACGCCAGAAGCTAGAACGTCCATCAAGACATTAATCTGGACAATTAACCACCGACCTCTGCAAGTGTCGCCCGCGTGAATTCAAATCTGCCACTTGCTTGCGAAGGAAAAGAAAACATCTTTTGCGAAGATTTTAGGTATCTCACATGGCAGAACTTAACTTCGATGACCATTTTAATCAAATTTGGAAGTAGCTCATGAAACAATAATTATATCAAATGTGCTCACAACAAGTGTTTTCTTTTTCTTTTAAATAAGCACGCTTTATTTTTTGCCGCTCTGACCGCATCTCTAGAGTTAATGCCATTAAACTCTCAGAATTTGAAATGTCTTGTACTGCGTCGTAAAATACTGGGTTTGTGTATTCTTCAGTACATATTTTATCAAAACGCTGTAGAAAAAGAACGAAAATATGTACAAGGTCGTATCGTTACCGCCAAATATTAAGTTATATTCTTCACCAAACTATAGCGCTAGTGGTTCGAACCAGATGCCAAAGGTTAAAAAAAAACGTATCTAAATTAAAAGTTTTAGGTGATTTACTTAAATTTTCAGTGGGGCAATGGCGGCCGACGGAACACTCAAATGCATGGAGCTGAATTGCGCAGGTTACCAAGAACGACCCTCATTTTTCAGCTGAAATTTTCAGAAAATCACTTATAACTTTTTGTATATCACAACGGATAGTTCTGAAATTTTGACAGATGATTCGGACTGAAAGCGCTACATTTGATCTGAGAGAGAGAGAGAGTGTTCGGCGTTAAATCGTCGTTTTCTGTTTCGAGGAAAGGGGGGGAAGGAGGTTTAAAAATGTTTAATTTTTATTAGGGGAAGGGTGCAGTGTACTTCATTGTAAACAAAAAAAAATACTAACCTACATTTTAATTCCATTGATAATGGTCATTAGATTGCATTTAGTTTTTTTCTGAGGTCTTCTTTGAAGTATTAGTTTATACCCCAAATACAAAGTGATTGAAACTGTCTTCGCGATTGAATCGCTTATATAACTTATATTTTTGTTCTTTGTGAGTTCACTCTTTTTTTGGTGTATTACTGTAAGGGTATGTGAAATATTATAAACGAAGAGCCTGGTGGTACGGGTCATGATTAAAGAAAGAATAAACATGTAAGAGGGAGACGATACAACCCCATCTTTCAAGGATGTGGTTTCGTCGTCTTCGTCTTCCATATTCACTCTTTCTTCAAACTTGATATGTTTTAACTAAATAAGTGTATTCCACAATATATAAATATATTTCATTACAGGAAAAAAGATAGTGAAGAAAGTTTGAAAACAAAAATGTTCAGCATTTTTACAATGCCCAATTCACAATTCCTAAGCGGCTCAATATTCTTGAAGGGTTATTTTTAGTACGTTTAATACGTACTAATTTTCTCAGTTTTCTGCCCATTAATAAACCTGAGATCCTAAGAAATAAGAACGAAAACCAGACGTATCATATTAGGCTACATAATAAATCATAATATATTAGGATACAGATTATCACAATATTTTTCGCACGTCGCAAGTTTGTTAAAAAGTTGGTCAACCGACTTGTGTGTGTCTTGTGCTTTTCAGTCTTCCAACTCGTTGCCCTTGAACGTTTCTCGAATTTGACCTCACGCTCTCCTCCCCTGTTCAAATATCCGCTTCTGTTTTGATTGGTGTCGTTTCCTGGGGTAGTTTCAGACTGTAGTCACTGGCGAGGTGAGAACGGCAGGGAGGAGCTTCAGTTGTCCGACTTCCAGCTCGACAATCCTACCCTCCACGAGGCCTAAGCCTTTTGCGCACCTCGAGCTCACCCGTGCCGACAGCCAAAAGAAAAAGGAAGGCATAGAGCGGCGTGCTGGAAGCCGGGCGTTCAAAAGGCACATGTTGCCGTTTTCAGTCGGTCAGTGACTCCTGAAAGACCTGAGTCCTCGTCTAGAGAGGACTGTCTCGTCTAGTATCGATTCTGATGTACTTGCGCTAAATGGAAATCTTAGTTTGACCAAAGGATCATAAAACTTCTGTATAAACTAAGAACTTCAGCTTGACAGTTTTTATTTCGCAAGGCCCATAAGAAACAATTCATGTTCCAGATGCACGACCGTCTACGGATCACCAAGTATGTTCTCAAATATTGTACGTGAGCTCGAAGAAGGATCATACGACGTTTCTTCCGTTAGAAAAGGTATGCAAATTTTCATCAATATACCACTAGTGTAACATTTTCTGTCGTCTTCTATACTTCGGCTAACCTTAACACTTAATGTCGAGAAGACAACAAGCGCGAGTTGCTTGCTTTTGACAGCGCCTCGGACTGACTCGCCTTCGTGAAGTTCGTACACCATGAGGAAAACGTAAAATTTACACGCTCGCGTTTGTAGATTTCGCGCTAAAAGTTCTGGACGTAAAAGCTGATGCTCGCGCGCCCAGAACCGTTGTGAATGGTTCTTGGCGCACGAGGTGAATTTGAAGTGAAAATCGATACATTCGAAGATGGTTTCATATTATTTTAGAGAACATAGCTTCTTTACTGCGCATAACCATAGCTAATGTACTCTTAAAAAAAAAAATATTCAAGTTTTTTTTTGTTCCCACAACTCACTTTTCACTCCCACAACTCACTTCACACCCACAACTCACTTTTTGTTCCCACAACGAGCCACAACGTGTGGCTCGTATTTTGGAACAAAAAACATTTTTTTTGCGTGTTTGATTGGTTTTTGGAATATTTTTTTCGAGCCTCAGCTGAATCTTATGTGCAGTTTTTCGTAGGACTAAAGTTGTATGATTAAAATAAAGGTACTGCCTTTCTATGGTGTCTTGCTGAAAATGTGACCAAGTCTGCACACCTTTACGTGTATTGGGGGTTCTATCTCAGTAGGTAAATTAAGTGAAAGCAACGGAGTACAAAACAGCCCGTGAAAAAAAAATTGCGCTCAAACCGACACTGGTGAAAACAGTGCGGTCCAAAACAGCCTTCATCAAAATGATGGAGACAGATGATCATATTCCAAACGACGACAACGATTTGTTCGTTCGTCTTCCATGTCCCTCTTTCCTTATCGTAAATTAGAAACCAAAATGCTCAACTATCAACATGAAAACAGCACACTGAGAAAATATATCGTTATCCTGAAAAGTCTCAACTAGTAGCTGTACTTAATTTTCGTTTGTAATGTATGAGGTCTTGCAATGTCATTTATACTACTGAAATTGCATTTTTGTGCATGTCCAACTGATACAATTGTCCACGGAATGTCGAGACATGCCACATGGACATCCATGGGACATGTCTCCTTCGCATAACCATTTTGTTATAAGTGCGTGTACTATCGTGGACCATATGAGCTGCAAGATTATTTGATCATTTTTGACGTGCCTGCCGGTCCTTAAAGAAGCTTTGGTCTTACTGCTGGATGAAACGTGAATTATTGCGAATCTCCAAACTTTATGACAAATCAAGCGATAATAAAGAGCTATGTTGATTATAGACGCAGAGAAATACCGAATAGTGTGCTGCATATCATATTATCCGCGGCGTAGAGTGCTATCAAAATCAACTTTCTTTCACCAAGAGATATCGTTAAGTTTCAAGTATTTATTGGAAGATACTAAATTTGGCTCTTCATACGATACCTGCATATTTCTGGTTGTATTCTGCTTGGAGACATTCTTTCTACGTTGACTGATAACGCTGCTTATTATTTCGCTTTCAGGATCATCACCGTGTTATCACATTTGTACTGTTCATCCCCTCCACGCTAAATTAGTATATCAAGGTGTAAAATTGTAGGTGAAAACAACATGGATCAAAAGCATTCAAACAATGATATGCTTTCCTTAATAAATTTCGAGAAAACCGGACTGTCAGTTCGTAAACAATTTTGCGCACAAATCGTTACCAGCGTTATATTATTCCTTGTAAATTTGCTTCCAAAATATATTTTGACTAAATTATTTGCACGAAATTTGAAAGGTTGAATCTCATACGCAACCGAAATTTTCTAGAACCATTTACCGTACGCTGTAATATATTCAACTGTCATGGCCGCACAAGAAACGCACATCAGTGTGTACGGCAACGTCGTTGTCACAACCTCTTTCCAGTTGTAGACTACGTCTTAAGGGGAAGCGTCGTTACCTGCCCCGCCATCTCCAAAATTTCTAAATGTGAACAAAAAAGAACGCCTCCCTCCATTAGAATAGCAATGATAAATTGGAGAGAGACGTGGAAAACCCCATTTATTTTTAGGCACTCACAATATATTTGGAAACGACAGGTGAACACGAAGAACAAAAAAAAAAAAAAGAGAAGATATAGTGGCATGAATTTCAAATAGATTTCAGGCGAGAAGAGCGTCGCCCACAAGAGCAACAATTTTGGTTTACTGTCATACAGTCCCGCCAATAACCCCATTATTATGCTTGGGGATGAGTGCAGTGAGATAGGGAAGTTGAAAATAATTTTTTTCTAGCTTCAAACTTGCTTGGAAGGAAATCGACGATGCCCCTTCCAAACATTGCCAATCGGTACCTATTCTTTGTTTCACGATAAGGTCAAGCGAAATCAAAAAATATCTGACACGTAATAGAACGCGCACAAACATCTTCGCTTGATTCGACGACCGTGAAGACGACCACGAACAGAATGGCGCCAAACGCCGGGAGGTTGCGATTTTGGAGTTGCTTGATAGGCCAAATAGGCTACCAAATTAAACTGCCCTCGGACTTCAGCTGAAACGAAGTTTAGAACCTGTTTATTTATATAGATAGATATCGAACGATTGATCAGGTATAATTATTTAGGTCTCTGCAATAGCAGATGCCCCATGAAAAGCAGTTCACTGTCGTGTATAACAAAGAATAAAAGTAAGAAACAGAGCGATAAATTAATTGAAGATGACTGTCGCCACATGCGTGGCACTGTAGGCCTCTTCCACGGATGCCACTGCGTAGGTGGCCTACACATTAAAATTAAAAACATCCCGGCTCTTGAAGTCCTGCTCAGATGGCACATATAACCTCCGTGTCATCAGTAATTATGGGTAATCAACAACACCGTGCAGAACATTCTTCAGAAAATGCATGTTTATTTGTTTTCGCAATTACTCTATCGTTCACAGGAAACATACCGAGGTTGACAAGAAAACGATCAAAGTATTTGAAGTGGCGGTGGCCATATTGTCTCTTATACAAAATTATTTTGAACTTACATTGATCATTTTTAAACATTACCGCGTGCCATCTCGTAAGCTTCCAAACCACAAACGCTAATTCAAAACTCAAACTCACAGGCACACGGTATATATTTGATGATGATTGCAGTGTTCATGTCGCAATTGCTACAGAGGCGAAATGGCGCCGAGTAAGAATAGGCATGTATTGAAAGTCCTAAAGATAATACCTGGTGTAAAATTAACATTTTTCTAAGATAATCTTAAACGCGGTTGGACGATACTATATAAAGGCTTATCACCGAGCAGTAACATAGGATAAAATTAAATATGTTCCTTAAAAAAACTCTAGAAAGCATGATAGGCATAAATTGTGGTAACAGCTACATTGTCGCCCAGTATGCAAGATAGTCAAAAGTTCCCCAAAGTTGTGTACCATTTTTACATAATCATCATCATTTATTCTCCTTGAGGGCCCGTGTGGCATTATACAAGGGGATGGCAATAGAACAAAAACAAAGAGAACATTAAACACAAGTATAACACTGTAAGCTAGCTAGATAGTTTAGATAATGAGAGTGTAATGGCTTCAACAAATTTAGTAGCATCAGTAATAGAAGCGATGTTATGAGGTAGTGAATTCAAATCCTCGATGGCCACTGGGAGTGTTGAAGTCTGGTGAGAAGCAGTTGATGATGGAAATGGACGCAACTGACATAGGTTATCTAGACGCGGGAAAATAAAATGTAGAGGTGATAGCAGTGATTCTTCCAGGTGGCTATTGTGATAAAAGAAATTCAATGGAGGTGAGAAAGGCGTGATACTCGGCGGCGAAGGGAAAGTGAATGAAGGTTAGCTGATTGGTGTAATCCTGATACGCTGGTATATGGTGCGTAGTTATAAATAAAGCGAAGGACTCTGTTTTGGACGGATTCTAGATTATTTGCAAGGTAGGACTGCCATGGGGATCATATAGATGAGGCATATTCTAACTTCGATCATATAAGATTAATATAAGCTAGTCTTTTTACGGACGGTGTAGCAAGTTTGAGGGTAAGGCGCAAATATCTGAGAGAACGGTTGTTATCAGAAATAACAGAAGTTATGTGAGTAGTCCATGATAGGTCAGAGGTGAGATGAACACCTAGGTATTTATAAGACAAGCACACTATTATTTGGGTGTTAGAGAGGTAATAGGAAAATGGTGTGGCACGCGAACTGCGGGAAAATGAGAGGGATCTACATTTATTAAAGTTTATCGTCATCTGCCATGTTTCACACCAATGGATTACAGCCTCTAGGTGTTCCTGAAGAGCATGGCGCTCATGGTATGAAAGAATGGGTCAGTAAATGATACAATCATCGGCGAAGAGGCGCCCAAACGAAGCGATGGAGATTATTAATGTAGATTAGGAACACGAGGGGGCCAAGTACGGTTCCCTGGGGGACACCTGCCGTTACGGTAGAGGTGGGAGATTTTACGTTGTCAACAGAGGAATATTGCTTAAGGTTAATTAGGAATTCAGAAATCCACTTAACAACAGAGGAATGTGTGATATTTGTAACAAGGGAGCTGCAGGTGATATTAAAATCGTTATGCTTTATTCAAAGACGTTGGTGGGGTACTTTGTCGAATGCTTTGGAAAAGCCAATGAAAGTGGCGTTGGTCTAAATATTCAAATCGAAGCTTGAATCAGTAAGGAAGGTCGTTATCAGTAAGGAAGGTCGTTAGCTGGGTTTCACAAGAGTAGGATTTACGAAATCCGTGCTGATGTTCATAAAGAAGGTTATGAGAGTCAAGAAAGTTTATTATATTTGAGTAAAGTGTATGCTCCATGAGCTTATAAAGAAAAAGCACATAAAGAAAAAAAACTGATGGTGGGATAACTTTAGCAATACTATTTATCTTAACTGAGAATAAGCTAGCACTCAATACACTACCCAGTGGAACACCATTTTCTTGCCTGGAACTGTCAGACAATCTGGAATTTATGTTTATTTAGAAAGGTAT